TAGGACCTTCGCTATCATCGCTGCTGCGATTATCTCGGGGGCCGTAGTCGAGCGCATCCGCTTCTCGGCCTACGCCATCTTCATCGTGGCCTGGGTCCTTTCAGTGTACGTGCCCCTTTGCCACTGGATCTGGGGCGGTGGCTGGATCGCTGAGATGGGTGCCAAGGACTGCGAGTCTCTTTAGGAAAGGGTGTCAGCAGTCACACAAGTCTACCAGGCACCTGCTCTAGCTGCTCTAGCTGTAAAAAGTAAGTATAGCTGCAGTCACACTGCCGTCCAGCTATGATCTTTGCTAGAGGACTTTGCCGGTGGCACCGTCGTTCACATCAGCTCTGGCACCTCGGCGTTTGCACTGGCCTCGTTGCTTGGGGAGCGCAAGCACCGTGGCGAGTCCTTCCCCAGCAACCTGCCCTTCGTCATCTTGGGTGGGGGCATCCTGTGGCTGGGATGGACTGGCTTCAATGGTGGCTCCGCATTCGCTGCCAACGGCGACTGTGCCCTGGCCATCGCCACCACCTACGTTGCGGCCGCGGCCGCGATGATCACCTGGGTTTCCGTGGAGCGCATCCTCGATGGAGCTCCCACATCGGTCGGTGCCATGTCAGGTGCCGTGGCTGGCCTTGTGGCTTGCTCGCCAATGGCTGCACGTAATTAGGCGACGTAGGCCCAGCAAATGAGCTGAGATGAATGCTTGAATCCAGCCTGAGCCTGCGCCAGACCTAGTTTGGTTTTTGGAGCTTGAGCTGAGGTGAACATCACCCCGTGCGCCGGCTTTGTGGAGCCTTTGGGTGCTCTTGGCGTGGGTGCCATTGGAGCCATCTGCTGTGTGTTCGCAGCTCGTGGTCTCAAGAAGTTGAACCTCGTGGATGACTCCCTGGATTGCTTCAGCCTCCATGGCGTGGGAGGATTCGCGGGTGCCATCTTGGGTGGCTTCTTCGACCTTGAAGATGGCCTCATCTATGGAGGCGACGGACTGCTGCTGGCCAAGAACCTGGCCGGGGCCGCCTTCGGCGTGGTCTACTCCGCAGCCGTCACTGCGGTGATCTTCTTCCTGATGCGCCTCGTCATGCGCATGAGGGTCAGCGAGGAGCAGGAGCTGGAAGGCCAAAGGGCAAAGTGGGCGGGATTTGCGATTTGCGGGACGACACAAGATGAAACACTGCCAGCAGACATGTAGGG